CAGGTGTTCAGAGTGTACCTACTGGGCCCCTGTCCGTAAGTGGGCGGAGGACTTCCTCCTGTGTCTGACCGCTTAACCCCTCTGAGCCCGCGCGGGCTGGTGGCGAGGCTGAAGTGCCATGCTGTCTGGCCCCGGAGACGTGCCCTGCCCCACCCTGCCGCCGCCATCAACTGGCAGCCCTAGCCCAGATGAGACGGTGGAGCCCAGATCACCCTGACTCTGGCCCAGGGGCCCCTTTGTTTATCATACTTTTGGTCGAAGCAGGGCAGTGGTCGGACGTCGGGACTCTGAGGTTCCAGGCTCCCCGTCCTCCGTCCTGTCGGCCTCTGGGACTGGTGGCCCAGGACGGCAGGTAGCCCGTTGTCCCGTAGAGGCTTCCTGAGCTGCACGCTCTGGTCCGCGTACTCACGGGGAGAGTCGTGAGCGTCTTCCGCACAGTGCAGACTTCAGACGGGGCTAGGGGAGGGGTAAGCGTGGATCGCACGTCGGAGAGGGCGTTGGTGACGGGTGAGACCAGGCGTCCCTAAACTTCATTTTACCTGCTTTCCTTTGTGTTGTCATTATTTTTAGAGGGTTTTGCTTTGGGGTACGTGCACTCGCCAGAGGGAGAGAGGGACAGAGACAGAGAGGGGGGAAGTGAGAAAGACCCCCGGGAGGGGTGGCCTCGCCGCTGCCCCTTCTCCGTTCTCCTCCCGGGATCTTGGGCACGCATGTACAAACTTCCGGTGTGTTTTTCCAGCCAGCAGTTCCGGGACTTGAACTGTGGCCAGCCATGTGGGAGCCCAGTGCCCTGCCCACACCTGCCAGCCCCACACCCAGTTTCTTCAGCTCGGCAGTGTTGGGTTAGTCCCCAAGCACCAAGCTGCAGTGCCTGCCATCGCAGGAGTGACCTCCCCGGCCAGCTCTGAGTCAGGGTGTTCCTGGGGTTGTCAAAATGCCCTTTGCGAGTTGCCCGGTGAGGTGCAGTGTCCCCGCTGGCTTTATGACCCAGGTGACGTTGTACGCAGGTGACTGCGTGACGCCCACAGACAGCTCCGGGAACACAGGGAGCCATGCAGGGACGGGGCTGTGCGTGTGGCCGCGTGACCGTGAGGCCCGCAGGAAGCTCCGGGCTGCAGGGGGCGTGTGCGGTGGTGCGGAGGCCCGGCACTGTGCGGTATCTCCGTCCCGCCCCTCCCGTCCCACTCCATGACACGCGTGAACTGCAGCGTCCTTCGTCCACCTGTCGGCCCTGGTCCTCTGCTCTGAGGACACGTAGCACTCGCCCCTGGGGCCGGTCGGTGGCACGGTGGTTACGGCGGCCGGCTGCCACCCCTCGGTGCTGTGTGCTTGTGTGCTCACGGCTGACAGGGCGACACGGAGGAGCAGGGGCTGCCCGTGACCCCGTGGGGAGCTAGCTCACGCCCCTCTCTCTGGCACGCACATGCACACGTGCCTTCTGGCAGATAAACAGAAAGCCTGGAAGCCCTCCGGCATTCTGGGCCGTGCCCCCACATCTCGGCTGGCAGCGAGCTGCAGCCTTACACGGGGAGGCCTCGGGGTCCTCCGCCACATCCCGCCCTGAGGCCCCTGGTGTCCTAGCCACGGGAGTGACAAGGGCTCGTGTCCGTGGCTCCCATCACCAGGGAGCCAGAGTGGGTCAGCCATGTTTCTGGGTCCCCATGTGTGCTCTCCGTGGTCATGTGTCTGGGTACACGTGTCTCTCCGTGGTCCACACGTGTCAGCATGTGTCCCAGGTGCACACGCACACGTGTGCCCCCTCCTGCCAGACTGTAAGGCTCCGACTGCAGGGTCAGGTGTGCCTGTGCTCACGTCCTCCCGGGCGGGGCCCCCAGTGGCGGGCGCCACCCCTGACCTCTGCTCGCGCCCGCGCAGGGCGAACCTGGTGGACCTGCAGAAGAAGCTAGAGGAGCTGGACCTGGACGAGCAGCAGAGGAAGCGGCTGGGGGGAGCGGGCACCCCCCACG